GAGGCTTCACCACCCATTTATCCCTCCGCCTTTCAAACAGCACCACATGTGATTATCGGCCAGGCTGGCACAATTAACTAACTCAATGAGCAGGTGTATTGTCATGATGAGGGGTGGGAGGGAATCCCTTGATGCAACTCTCTGGAGCTTTTCTTGCCAATGTAGATTTCAATTTTCTTAAAAACAGCTTCCTAATAAGCCTACTTGATGGCCCTATACCCTTGGGAAAAACAATCAGCATGACCCCTTCAGATCCCCAAACAGACATGCACCTGGCTTAGAATCTAAATAAATTATTTAGAAAAATCATTTTCCATATGTAGTTTGCTTATTTTTTCCATGTTTCCTGTTGGGGTGAGGGGGATCCTCAACACTCGAATGGTTTCCACAGGAGCAACTTTGCAATTTTGGAAAATATTAAAGACAAACCGACTGACAGACAGAGGGATACAGGAGCTCCTCATCCCATGCCAGGACAGAGAATGAATTTTCCATCGGGTATATATAAGGGGCTTACAGATCTTTCATAAGGCATGCACCATACAGCTAACATATTACATAGTTAATAGGCCATATCATAAGTGGGTAACATATAAACAAGCAATGAGGTGTCAGCATCTTGACCTAGTGCTAGTTGACCTTGAACACGCCCCCCCGCCCCTTCCCAGGGGTTGCTACATTTATGGTGGGTTGGCAATAGAGTCTGATTGCTCTTATCTACTGTGTTAGTCAGTTAACTAGAGAAACAAATCCAGAGACACTCATGTATAAGGAAGAGCTTTATTATAAAAGAGTAATTGTGTATTAAGAAAACAGCCCAGTCCAGATCAAGGTCTTAAGTCCAATATTGGCCCATGTGTCTGATACCAGTTTGCAAATTCCTCTTCAGACTCACGCAACACATATAATGACGCTGAGTGCAGGAAGATCACAGATTAGTGGGTAGAAAGTCTTGTGAGTCCAGTGGCGGTGGAAGCATCTTAGCACTGGTGTGGGTCTCCACATGGCTCCTCCAGCTCCAAGGCTCTGGCTGCCATCTGCCATGTGGCTTGTAAACAGGCATGTCTCCCAGGGAGTGTTTGTGTGTCCCCTCCCCAGAGAGCTATTTATCTCCTAGTGCCTCCAAAATGAGGTCATCACACTGGGACCTGATTGACAAGCTAAACTCCACCTCTTCCCTCTTATGTCTAAAGTTGACACCAGTTTATGTAACTACATCTACAGACAACCTCCAGACACAGGGAATAGTCAGACGCATGAATGACTCATCTTATATGGTAGCTCCTTTATATGGGGGTATTGGAGGGACTGTGTCCAGTCATGAGAATGTGTACTAAGATTTATTTATATTTCATAACCGTGAGGGTCTTCCCCCACTGGAATCGGCTTTCCAGACCTGTAATTATGAACATAGAGGATTTAGCTACATTACATTCACATCCAGTCCCTTGGTTTACCAGTTTCCTTGATCAGTTTAGATCATTCTATTTTATCTTCAAGCTACACTCTATTTAAAGGGATCCATGGTTGCACATAACTGCAACTGCTGGAATAAGAGAAAAAGAAACGACTAAAGTGATTAGCAGATGATCGTGGGATATCCAATTCAACCTCTAAATAACAAATAAATTCCGATAAAACATAAAGAACAATAAAGTGACTAATTAGCGACTTCAGAACTCAAGCCAAACTCACTGCCAATGAGTCAGTTCCAACTCAGGACAGAGTAGAACTGCCCCAGTGAGTTTCCGAGAGTGTAAATCTTTATGGTAGTAGTAGAAAGCCTCATTTTTCGTGTCCACGGAGTGGCTGGTGGGTTTGAACTGATGACCGTATGGTTAGTGGCCTAGCACACAACCCACACATCACCAAGAGCTCCTAATTGGTAGCATAGGGTGCACATATTCACTCATTCTTGATAGCCCTAAGTTTTTACAACTGATAGTGATTTAGTTCCACTGTAAAAATACCAGTCTACAGATAGGGGTTGAATTAAAAACAAATAAACAAAAACATTAATCGAGTGTAACTTTAATACTCTCGTTGCCCCAATAGAGAATAAGAAATTCTTCTTGGTAAAGAGGTTAGAAATATCAGATGAGCAGTCTTCTTGGTTCTCAAGAGGAGCTTTAAAAATTAAAATAAAAACAAACAAAACATCACAAAGATTCTGAAAACTTGCTTTGTGGCAGGGCCCATCTTTTCTAAAAGTTCCCAATTATTAAAGAAGGGGCACTGTGGTACATTAACACTTTGAGGCAGGTTGCTTAAGCACAGCATCTTTTGATAGCCGGGCACTCTCAGCTTTCTTCACCATATTTGTTTATCCACCCACTTTGTCTTCAGCGATCTTGTCAGGACAGCTGGTGTGCTTCTTCCATGGCTTGAAGATAAACAAGCGGTCATCTAACTGAGAAACAACAAAGCCCACATGGAAGAAGCACACCAGCCTGTGAGATCACAAGGCATCGAAGAGATCGGTATCAGGCATCAAAGACCAAAAAAATCATAGCATTATGAATGAAGGGGAGTGCAGAGTGGGGACCCAGGGCCCATCTGTGGGCAATTGGACATCCCTGTGCAGAAGGGTTTGGGGAGGAGATAAGCCTGTCAGGGTGCAGTGTAGCAATGATGAAACATACAATTTTCCTCTAGTTCCCCCCACTATCATGATCCCACTTCTACCTTACAAATCCGGCTGGACCGGAGGATGTACACTGGTACAGATAGGAACTGAAACACAGGGAATCCAGGGTGGATGATCCCTTCAGGAACAGTGGTGAGAATGGCAATACAAGGAGGGTGGAGGGAAGGTAAGGGAGAAAGGGGGAACAGATTATAAGGCTCTACATATAACCTCCTCCCTGGGGGATGGACAGCGGAGAAGTGGGTGAAGGGAAACGTCAGACAGTGTAAGATATGACAAAATAATTTATAAATTATCAAGGGTTCATGGGGGAGGGAGGAAAAATGAGGAGCAAATACCAGGGGCTCAAGTAGAAAGCAAATGTTTTGAGAATGATTAGGGCAACAAATGTACAAAAATGCTTGCCACAGTGGATGTATGTGTGGATTCTGATAAGAGTTGTACAAACCCCCAATAAAATAATTCAATTAAAAAAAAAGACTAGCATCTTGCTTGTATAATAGCCGGTCCTGAACTCAGGACACATTCCATCAGGAGCTACATTACTCAACCACATAGATGACACCTCATTTTAAGCGCTTTTGGTAAGGCAGGTCAGTGTGAAGGGACGGACTCGGGACTAATATGCTTCTCTCCTTCACTTATACCATTCTAAGCCCTTCCACAGGGCGCCTTTTGCTTCGAGCCGTGGGAAACTGTCCCTAGAACCCGAGGTAACCAAAGTTGCACCGGAGACCCTCCTATGATGCATCCAGAGAAGGACTATCAGTGCCGGGATGCCCTAATTGTTGTTAAGTGCCACCACTTGTATGTCAGTTTGTCTTCCTGCGGTGGCTTGTGTGTGGCTGTGATGCTGGAAGCTATGTCGCTGGTATTTCAATTGCCAGCAGGGCCACCCAAAGTGGTCAGGTTCCAGACCACGAACAGACAACGAAGGACTTGGCTCCTCACTCCGAAGGAAGAAGCCGCTGAAAACCGCTCCCTAATTGAAAGCGTACAGAACGGTGGCGGGGGGAAAAAAAAAAAAAAAAAAATCACAGGACCGCTATCCAACGCTCCAATAACCCGCAACCTTCTCGCGCGACGATTCGGCCGGAAGTGACGGCACAAGCGACGCGCGAAGCCGCCCCACGGGAGAGGGCGGGGGAGTTCTGCGGGGGCTAGGGGCGGGGCGCGGCCGCGGCTCCGCTTCCGGTGGCTCGTCGCGCTCGCTCACTCCAGCTGCAGCCACTCTCGCCCGTGGCTGCTTCCTCCATCCTGGTATTTTTTGGAGCCTCCATCCTGGTTCTTCCAAAGTGCCCGGACCCAAAACAGGAAGTAAGTGCGATGGAACCTTCAGGTCCCAGTCGCCGCCAGGGCCGCTCCGCCCAGTGGAGCCTGCCCGGCCCCCTCGTCAGCCGCCAGTTCCCGCCGGCCGGCCCTGCAGCTGAGCCCTGGCTGAGCCCTGCGGGCGGGGTCGGAGCTGGGCCTTCGTGACGCCGGAGCGGCTGTCTCCGCACGCTCTGGCCAGAGCCTCGGGCCTGGGCCGTGAGCGGCCGCCGACGGGGGCGGAAAATGGCGGCTGCTTTGGAGGATCTAAATGGCGCCGAGACCCCTGGGGGGTGGGGTGGGCCGGGAGCTTCGACAGAAAATTGGGCCGGGGCTTGTGGGACCGTAAGCAAAGTCTTTTATACTCTCTCGGAATGCTCTCTATCTCTTTCCTTTTCGGGCTTTATTCCGTGGTCTGGTCAAGAAGCGGTGGGGTTGAGGAAGTTTGAGCAGGCCTCTCGTCAACCCCCCCCCCATATTTTGGGGTTCACGGCTCAGCCCTCAGTGACTCGGGGTTGCTGGCCGTACTATCTATCCTCCGCTAAAATCTTTTTAAGGAGTGACTAACTTGGGCTTCGGGGGAGATGCCGTTCCGAGCAGAGTAGTAGTAGATATGTTTTGTAGAGTTAGGAAGTTTATCTTTAAAAATTTTTTAATCTTCATGTCTTTTAAATTGGACGTTTGGTTTGAGAGACTAGAGCCCTCTAGAGAGGGACTTAGCGTGCCTTTCCTTACTCCAGCCCGAAGTGTTTGGGAGCAGAAGTGGCCGAGTGCCATTCTATGCTGGAAAATGATACGGTGTGTTTTTATGAGAAGCTTTAGATAAGATGATGACGACTCGGTGACATATACACCTAGAGCCCCTCCCCAGTACCGTATCCTTTCAGACAGCCGGAGCAGCTGCTAGCTGGAATGTGACAGAATGCATATTCTGTGTGATTACTTGCTAAAATTCGGTGCCTTAAAAAAATTAAATACCATTTGAAGAGTTTTTTCTTTATTAATTGGCTCTACAGTTTTAATTAGGGGAGGGCAGTATCCATTTGTAGTTTGTACACTTCAATGTAAGAAAAGGTCTCTGTTAAAAAGTTTTTAAAAGATTAAAAAAAAACTTCTCTCTTTTTCAATTAGAAAGTTCACATTATCCAGTTACTTCAAATTCTTTACAAGTAACACTGAGATTTAAAAAAATTCGTTTTATACTTGATTAAGGTTTAGAAATCTGGTTAAGATTTAGGGGAAAAATGAGATTTCTTAACATTAGAAAAGTTGTGCTACTTAGCAGAATAAAATTCCATTTGACAGTAACGTTTTGTTTTTCCATTCAGGGGAACACAAAACCATTCTGATCCTGTGGGGCTAAGGGATATGTGAAGAAATACATTTCATGATTTGTGATTAGTTCATCATATTTTAACTCCTGTATACTGGACGCTTTTGTCTATCATCGAAAAAGTTAATTATATATGTATATATATTTTTAAAGCTAATATGTGTATATTAAAAAGTGAATATACACACACACACATATATATATATATACACTTTGTTTTTACCATTTTACTTCATAGGCTCACCCCAAAATATGCTTTGGGGGACTGAGCTACTTCATATATTCTGCCTGCATTTGTTTTAAATTGAGCTAGATCAGTGGGTCTCAACCTGTGGGTTGTGACCCTTTTGGAGGTTGAACGACCGTTTCAAAGGGGTCCCCTGATTGATAACAGTAGCAACATTACAGTGAGGAAGTAGCAATGAAAATAACTTTATAGTTGGGGTTCACCACACATGAACTGTATTCAAGGGTCACGGCATTAGGAAGATTGAGAACCACTGAGCTAGATGATAGGGCCAAAATGCTATTCCCTGTCTCTTCTACATTTGATCAGTGAGCACTGGTCATTGCATGCATACTTAGAGCCTTATGCTCATACTTGTAGCGCTTTGTAAGTACGCATATAATTTTTCTCTGAACCAAAGCAGTCCAAAAAAGTTTGAAGTTAGGAATTGAACTTCTAAAGCAGAAAGGCTGGGCGGGGATAGTTATTGGTAGAGAATAACATCAAAAGTAGGGGTTAAGTTTCTCATTAATATACATACATATGCATATACTTTTAAAATAAAGTTTGTTTTTTATCTCAGTTCTCATTACACCCTGTAGGTGCTTTGACTGTTGGTGGTGGGAGGATGTTATTTGCAAGGTTAAAACTCACTGCCATCTAGTTGATGCAGACTCGTAGGGACCCTGTAGGACAGGATAGAACTGCCCCTGTGAATTTCCAAGTTCCAAAAATTTTATGGGAGCAGAAGTTCTCATTCTCTGGGAACGCTGGTGGGTTTGAACCTGTGGGCCTTGCAGTTAGCAGCCTAATTTACCACACCACCAGGACACCTTGTTTTGTTTTGCAAGGTTATTTATGTTTAATTTACTCTGTAATCAAAAAAATAAACTTGCCTACACCTTCCCTACATAATCCTTATCATTTTCTTCATCTCCCCAATATCTACACACCTTAATTTTTTATTTCTAGTAAACATATGTCCAAGAAATAACATTTTGTTATTTTTCGTAATTGCTATTATGCTACATTAAATATATTGGCTTACATTAAGCTCCTATGAGGATGAACAAGATAATATTAAATGTCTTGGGGATGTACAACCTGGTGCATAGATATTAAACTGAAAAGGCTAGGATATGTTTTTGAAAGTATTGAGGTCCTAGAGTCCTTTTATATATGTTGAAAGCTACCATAATTTAAGAACTACAATAAAGTTGAGGGAGGGTTCCCCTTTTTTGGGGGGTGGGGGTGTTCCCCTTTTTAAAAATTTCATATGCCCAAAACTTTGGATGATTCAGGTTCAGTGCAACCCTATACATTGTGGGAGGGAAGTCCAACCCATGAGCTGGATAAGGCCTTTGAAATGATCAGTACCTAGACAATTGTCCAATCTATGTGGTGATGTTTGCTTTCTTATAATTTCTGTTTTCTTTTGTTAGGTAAGTTCTTGTGAATCACAAGGGGGTCGGTAGAGGTGGGATGGGGTGGCACTGGGAAAGTTTGTGGGAAAATCTCTTAATAACATTTTCCCATAAACTAAGGGAATCTCCTCATCCCCAGTTTGTGCTGTGATTCCATGAAAGTAAATGGGAAAGACAGTCCACTGGATGATTAAATACAGAAAGAAATTAGCAGGAGAACGCACACTGTAGAGCTCTTTATGAATGAGAATTATTGTTTGCTTAGTGTGTGTCTATTGTCTGTGTCTCCCCTTCCCTTCCTGCCCCCAATAAATGATGGTTGTTTAGTATGGTGCTGCCTCGTTTTTTATTTTGGTTGTGTGCACTGTTGTCAAAGCCATTAGGTGTTTAAGCAGCAAAAGAATCAGGTGTATTCACTGCTCCTGTGTGTTTCGGTATCTGAGGAAGTATACTTTATACTTTAATGTAAGTTAGGGATTTAGTGATAATTGCTATTTCCCTTTTTTTAAATCATTTTATTAGGGGCTCATCACCTCTTAGCACAATTCATATATACATTGATTGTGTAAAGCACATGTGTACATTCGTTGCCCTCATCATTCTCAACATTTGCTCTCCACTTAAGCCCCTGGCCTCGGGTCCTCATTTTTAGCCCCTCCCTCCCCGCTCCCCCATCCCTCATGAGACCTTGATAATTTATAAATTACTGTTTTGCCATATCTTGCCCTGTCCGACATCTCCCTTCACCCATTTTTCTGTCGTCCCCCCACAGAGGAGGTCACATGTAGATCCTTGTCATCGGTTCCCTCTTTCCAAACCAGTCTCCCTCTACCCTCCCAGTATTGCCACTCACACCACTGGTCCTGAAGGGATCATCCGCCCTGGATTCCCTGTGTTTCAGGTTCCTATCTACCAGTGTACATCCTCTGGTCTAGCCAGACTTGCAAGGTAGAATTGGGATCAGGATAGTGGGATGCGGAGGAAGCATTTAGGAACTAGAGGAAAGTTGTATTTTTCATCGTTGCTGCATTGCACCCTGACTGGCTCATCTCCTCCCCGAGACCCCTCTGCAAGGGGATCACCAGTGGCCTACCAATGGGCTTTGGGTCTCCACTCTGCACTCCCCCCATCATTCACTATGGTAAGATTTTTTGTTCTGATGATGCCTTATACCTGATCCCTTTGACACCTCGTGATTGCATAGGCTGGTGTGCTTCTTCCATGTAGGCTTTGTTGCTTCTGAGCTAGATGGCCGCTTGTTTACCTTCAAGCCTTTAAGACCCCGGACGTTATACCTTTTGATAGCTGGGCACCATCAGCTTTCTTCACCACATTTGCTTATGCATCCATTTGTCTTCAGCAATCTTATGGAGGTACGCACACAATGATACGATTTTTTGTTCTTTGACGCCTGATAACTGATCCCTTGGCCACCTCTTTATCACAGGCTGGTGTGCTTCTTCCATGTGGGCTTTGTTGCTTCTGAGCTAGATGGCCGCTTGTTTACCTTCAAGCTTTTAAGACCCCAGACGCTATATCTTTTGATAGCCGAGCACCATCAGCTTTCTTCACCACATTTGCTTATTCACCTACTTTGTCTTCAGCGGTTGTGTCGGGAAGGTGAGCATCATAGAATGCCAATTTCATAGAAGAAAGTATTCTTGCATTGAGGGAGTACTTGAGTAGAGGCCCAATGTCCTTCTGCTACTTTAATACTAAACCCATAAATATAGGCACATAGGTCTATTTCCCCATCCTCATATAAATATATTTGCCTATGTACATGTCTTTATCCAGACCTCTATAAATGCCCTTTGCCTCCCAGCTCTTTCCTCTATTTCCCTTGACTTTCATCCTGTCCCACTATCATGCTCAGTCCCCACCAGGGTTTCAGCAATTCCTCTTTGTTATATTACCCTTGATCATGCCCTACCAGGTACTATTTCCCTTTAAAGAGCATCTTTCAATGCTGTCTTCCATAAATTGTAATCGTTTTATATATGATCTTTTGCTTGTGGTAAATATT